TTGTAACATGGTTGTTAAGTGAGTCTGGCTTCCCCATTCACTTTGCTGAACAGAAGGTTCGCCAAAGGTGATCACATGACCCCAGGACACTGCAACTGTTGTAAGTACATGTCAGTTGCCAAGCACCTGAATTCTGATCTCGTGACCATGCAACGGTCATATGTGTGAAAAATGGTCACAAGTCACTTTTTTCAGTGCTGTTGTAACTTTGAACAGTCCTTAAACAAATGATGGTCAGTTGAGGTCTACCTAGATCGTCTTCTTTTAATGACCCCATAATCTCTTGTAGGGTGGAGTCTGGGCAATTGGATGGAGCTGAGTGTTTACTGGCCAGATGCCTTTCCTGTCACCAATGCGGAGTTTTGTTCAGCAGATATATTCTCATTGTGCCCAGAGAGAGAAATCTCTACCTCTACCTAGGATCGAACCCACCGCCTCCTGATTGTTTGGCAAGAGCTCTGCCTCTAGGCCACCACACCACTCCTGAGGACTACCTGTATGTCAGGCTTCGAGTCCCATCATCCCAGTCCATATGGCCGAGGATGATGGGGGCTGTAGTTCGGCGCACCTTGAAGACGCCAAAAGGGGGCCAAAGCGAGAGCTGCGTCTTGGCTGGTTCCTTTGTGTTGTTGTGCTTCCTGCACCAGCCATTCTGTTCATCATCCTTCTCATTACCCAAATAGGCGAGCTGATTGTCCCTTTGTTCATTCTGCACAGGTTGCAGTTCTGAGTCCATCTCCGCACAGCTGGTCCTGGCAGACGGCCAGTCACTCCATCCACCTACACTTGGTCTTCTTTCTCCTTTATGGTTGTGATTAGAAGGCAATCTCGTGCCATTAGGAAGACAGTTCCTGCCAAGGGCAGAGGAAAGCGGTTGTCCACTTCAGTATCCAACCTTGTATCAGAATACGAAATGGAACAGCACGCCATGTTTTTTAATGTAGGATTGAGCAAATTCAGACAGTGAGGAAGTTGGGGAGGAACATGGGCCTGGAGCAGGGATGGGTTTCTATACCGGTTGCAGTAGTGGGTTTCAAAAACCTCTTCCATAGGTGTGGCCTGGTTTGTGGGAGTGGCTTGCCAGCCATGTGACTGGGTGGGAGTGGCTTGCCGGCCATGTGACTGGGTGGGAGTGGCTTGCTAGCCATGTGACTGGGTGGGAGTGGCTTGCCAGCCATGTGACTGGGTGGGAGTGGCTTGCTGGCCATGTGACTGGGTGGCAGTGGCTTGCCAGCCATGTGACTGGGTGGGCATGGCCAACTGGCCATGTGACTGGGTGGCAGTGGCTTGCCAGCCATGTGACTGGGTGG